TCGCAAACATATCCATACAGTTCATCCCTCACAATTCCAAGTGTTTTCTCCTCTTATTAAGGAAGCCTCCCTTACTGGGCTGAGTAATATTACATTCTACATTCTAACGTAGTACCTATTTCCAAAGTTACTCGTTTTGTTCCTGGTCTTTCGTTCTTGAATACAACACGGCTCCCGTGACTGCAAGGGTCTTTATCTATCTTACGACGTAATATCTCCCATGAAACTGAAATAAGTGCCTAAAACCAAATATTTGTTCACAGATCATGAAGGAGACAAAGGAATAAACATGACATCTCAATTTCCCTGTATATTTCTTACAGTTCTGGTTACTCTAAATGCCCCCCTTTAACTTTTTCCGTGCTTGGAACTGCTCAAATTTTTCAAGAGTGGAGATTTGTATTTTGGAGACAAAATTTCAGAGTGACCATTCTGGTCCCATGCTCAGCTTGATTCGTTCGGTTTTGAGACATCACTGCTAAAATTTCTCTGAGACGTTACCTTTTCTGACCTTCAACGGATGTTTCAACAGGGCTATTTCTGCCACCCCTGTTGAGTCACTACACACACATTAATAATAGCTCTTTGTAATTTGAATTTTATAAATGTTCTCCTGAGATCATATCAATTCTTCAAACAAAACAGTCCTCGCATCGCAAAAGATATAACACTTTTCAGCAGTGAAATCATGGATTTAAGATACTCCCAGTATCTTCAGGTTTGCATACAAGCTTTGCATACAAGCTCCAGCTTGGAACACTGCAGCCCCTGTACCAAATCAAAGTAGCATTTTCTCTCATGGATCTCTGTTTGAGATTGATGTTAGACTCCTAAAAGGAAGTAAATGTATTCAGGATATCAGATAAGACATATGAAGTGGATAAAAGTGTTTCTCAGTGAATGGGACAGAACAGTTGATTCTACAGGCAGGAGAGATGCTTTCTTGGGAATACACAGATCTGTTAAAGAAGAATTATTCAGACACTTGTTGAAACAGTAATACAAACTTCAGTCAGGACAATTCCCACAGGTGTAGGGACAATGGGAACTTGCAGTAAAGGCAAGAGAGATTAGACTCAACTTCACATTTTTTTAAAAGTTGGTATTTATGCCAAAGAGCATGGTTCAGGTGTGTGTGGGAGGGTGAGTGATAGAAAATCACTAGATTAAGGGGCGCCTTGGTGGCTCAGTCGATTAAGCGCCCGACTTTGGCTCAGGTCATGATCTCCTCGTGGTCCGTGAGTTTGAGCCCCGCGTTGGGCTCTGTGCTGACAGCTCAGAGCCTGGAGCCTGTTCAGATTCTGTGTCTCCCTCTCTCTCTGACCCTCCCCCGTTCATGCTCTGTCTCTCTCCATCTCAAAAATAAAATAAACATTAAAAAAAATCACTAGATTAGGGAAATTCCTCCTGAACTGACCTAAAAGATACTAGCTGTAAGCAGGTCACTATAATGAGAGATCACCTGTGTGATGCCGAGGATTGAGGAAATTTAATCAGGTATCAATGGTGATCAGATATTCAGGAGGGGAGATTCTTGCCAAACCAACTAAAAAGGATTCTCACTCCTGCCAAGGCCTGGATCTAGTCAAAAAAAAGTGTACAGTGTCTTAACTAAATACTATGCAATGAGAGACAGTCACATCTGTGTACTTGGGATTCTGGCGGCTCAACATCCTTCCTCTTATCTTTACTAATGTGGCACAATCTGGGGTATTTTCTCTCTTGACCAAGGGAACTTAATGCTCTGGAGTGCACACAATTGAACTGAAATAAGATACTGTTTATTACCTTCCACTAGGCGTGGACACATTTTGTGTCTAAAACACTCAATAGAACGATGTGTTTCTTCGCTTTGTAGCCTTTGGGAGCATCACCAACAATATTCTCAGCCTCAGGGAGCATGCTGCCCTTTTCTGGGTCTGAAATAAGTCTCCAAGCACTTGGGTGATCAGCGGCAGAGAGCCATGCACACGGACATGGTTACATTCTGTCAAACGGGACGGGAGCCTGCCCGTGTGTGCCTTTTCCCTTCGCCCCTCCAAGCAGACCTTGGCTCCTTACTGCAAGAGGCCCCTGTCCGCCGCAACGGAATCGTGGAGACTACTTGATCCAGAAAGCCCTGAGCCGAGGGGCTGCGTCGTCCTCCAGTGAGAGCTAGAGGACAGACTTCCGTGTAGACAATACCGAGGGGCGGCACGTGGCGACTGTCTCCTGAGAGGGGCCATGTTGGCGCTCTTAGTTTTGCTCACCTGGTAACAGGTTCCGGAGTTCCGCTTCCACACTGACATAACGGGACCGAGAAGGTGCGAGGGGAGGCGCCAACCCTGCTGAACCGTTAGGGGTCGGGGTCGCCACGTCTCCCGGGCTACCCCGAGCCGAGAGGGACAGGGACCGCCCGCCCGGGTGACCACCGCCCACCCACAGAGTCCGATGGCGGTGGCCGCGCCCAGGGACCCGGCTGAGGTAACCGCGCGGCCCCAAGGGCCCTCCCCGCCCTCCCCCACCCAGACCCTCGAGGCCCGAACGCGGGGCGCCTGCTCGCGTCCCTGCGGCCCAGGTCCGGTGTCCGGGCCGGGAAGGCGCTCGCGGGCGGGGGCCCCGTGTCTCAGCGTCAGCGTGACGGGGTGCGGGAGCGGGCTGCAGGGGAGGGGCACGTGGTGAGGGGCGATGCAGAGCACTGAGGCACAGGGGCTGAACTGCCAGCCGAGTCGAGTCGTAGTCTTCAGGGCCGGCAAGAGTTCGGGGAGCCTTGATCCCTGGAACCCGCCGTGGCCTCCCGCGTCCACGGCTGGACACGCCCCCACTTCCCGGGGCTGCAGGGGCGTTTTTGGAACCGACACGAACAGGTGCGCGCGGCCCCAGTCCCTCATTGGCCCCGACCCCCACCCCCTTGTCCTGGATTGTTGTGTCCCCGGGACTCTTAAGTGCCATTCCGCAAGTTTGGGGTCTGGAGACCCTGGAGAAACCCCAGGCCCGTGCCAGGAGTTACACGAAGGTGTTTCCGTTTGTGGTAATCGGTGTGGGGACGGTTGTCCCAGGACCTGGTAGCGAGGTGTGCACACGCTGGAGTTAACACCCAGCCGGAACTATTCAGGAAACGGGCGGTCCCTTTGTTTCGGTTGGGAACAAGGAGCAGGGGCACAGGAGTCAGGACCGGAACGACTGCCTGAGAAGTTGGGTGTCTCTTGTGGTGGGAATGGGAAGCTTGGATGTGAGCAGGGACGTGACATTACCAAGGGCCTCATGGGATCCACCCCGCTATAGCATGAAGTGTAGACTGCGGGTTCAGGGAGGAGGCTACTGTCATAGTCTCGGTGAGGGTTATTGGACCAGGGCCCTGGCTTACAGGTCGTTGGAGTCGGGATGTGTGTTTTAAGAAGTGACAACTCTATTTTCTAATGTTTCACCCTGTCACGGGGTGAAACAGAGGATTCAGGGATACTTCCAGGGTTTTGTTCACATGGACACGGGGAGGAAGCTCAGCAAACGGAGATGAGGAAGCTGGTAGTTTGAGTGATGGGTGGGCAGGAGATGTTTGGGGAGCACTGAGTGGACGCATTAAGTAGGCAGCCGACACACAGCTCCGGAAATCTGGGGAGGGGTTCAGAAGGGAGACCTCTAAAAATATCGTGGCTGCCGTGTGGGCCCAGGCGAGTGAGCTGGGAGTCACATCTGCGAGGAGCAGTCTTCTGGTTATGCCGGTAGAGCGATTATGGTGCCAGGAAGAAGGGGGGAGAAAGGGAGTTCGGGCTCGATACCTGGGTGATGGCGTGACTTGAGAGATGAGGGATGTAATGGCCATGAAGGGAGAGTGTGTGGGGACAGGATGCGCGGGCAGGTGGCCGCGGTTTCTGGCAGAAGAGTAGACGCGAGAGGGATGCAGAGGCTGAGGAGTGACAAGAGCAAGAGGACGACAGTCAGGCCTGAGCCTGTGGAGCTTCTCCACTCTGCGAACTCTGCCAGGATGTGTGAGGACGTTGGTGCAGCCGGGGCGAGGGGGGAGGGTTCGTTCATGCTGGAGGGTAAGGTCGCCTGTGACCTGCTGACCTGGTCACCTGTGACAGACACTAGGTCCTGCCGGTCTGAGGCAGGGTGGCCTGCACAGAAGGATCTTGGGGCTGCCACCACTAGTGGAAAACACGACAGGTCTAGAGTGGCGTTGGATCCTGTTTGTCTCTACCGAGCACACTCTGGAAGCTGGTGCTCACTGTGGTGTGAGGCCAAGAGCGAAGACCCCTGTGATGCCCTATCTCTGTGTGTGCCACACAGCCTTCCGGACCACATAGCCTTCTCCTCGAAGGTGCGTGTGCTGCTTAGCCCTTCGTGTGGGTTTCAGTTCCCTGCCAGCCCGTGGAGTGACTCAGATGGGCCAATCACGTCCTCTGACAAAGCAGGAGGCACCCCACCCTCTCTATCCAATGAAACCTGCATCCTTCAGCTCGTGGTTGCTCGCTCTTTCAGAACACAACAACCACGCTCTGGGCCCGTCTGGGTGCAGTGTCCTCCTCTCCCAGGTGGTGAATACCTGTGGGTAATAAAGTACTGTCCGTCTCCTCTGTACGGGGTCGGGTGCCGTGTGTTTAGTCATCCCATTGCCCTAAGATGGGACGCCCGCCCTCACCAGTGCGATGAAGAGTTAGTGATTACAATACAAGTCACATATGGGGAGGCCGGAGACCTTTCTGCAGTGTGGGACACTGAGGCGGTGTTGACCATGGGAATGTGGTTGTGAGATCCAGTTTCCAGAATTGTGTGTAGTTAGAGAGGGAATATGCCTGATGGCCTGGGGACCTGGTACTGAGACTTACGTGACCGTGGCCACCACAGAAGAATAGCCTGGCATGAGTGGGTGGAACCTCTGTGCCAGGTCCACAACTTGGATACGTACTTGTCCACGTGCCTCTTGTGTCGGCAGAACCCTGTGATCAGTGGGCCCATGAGGAGGGCAGAGCGCCTTGGCTGCCAGCACTGGGGCCTGGTTCCTCCTCTGAGTTGGGAGAATGGGGGAGGATGGGCATGGATTACGGGTGGGTGGGGGAAGGGATTGTGGATCTTGGGACAGGGGCTTTTTGTGGTTTCATCTGTCCCCATCATGCCAGGGTAGGGTGACCTTCGAAGACGTGGCCGTGTACTTCTCCGGGGAGGAATGGGGTCTCCTGGACGAGGCTCAGAGATGTCTGTACCAGGATGTGATGCTGGAGACCTTGGCCCATATAACCTCCTTGGGTAAGACCCTCAAACCCACTCCTGTGCCCTGGGCTAGTCTCTGCCCTCCCCATGTCCCCAGCAGCAGTCTGTCTTTACATTGGGACCACGAGCACTGCTTCCTTCCCCAGTTCCCTGGGTGGGGGCTGTAGTAGGTAAGGCTGGGGTCTGTGCACTGCCCTCCTTCCTGGAGTGGGACCGGCTTTCCTGCTGACGTGCAGGGAAGAGGGTGGAGTCTCGCGGTGGACCTAACGGACACCAGCTTCACTACCCTCTTCCTGCCTGGGTGACTTCGTCCACGTGCAAGGCATCTGCATGCTCCAGGTCAGCTGCCTTCTCTAGCTGACGCTTCGCCGTGCCTGCCTGTGCCCGCAGTTGCTTTCTCCGCCAGAGTTACTGCTTCCACGGACCATGGGCTGTTCTCACGAGACCCCCTTCCAGAGTTGTCCGGGGACTCTTTAGTTCTCTTTCCCATAGGCTGTCATGCGCTGGGCTGTTCTAGGCTGCTGGTGGCCACTCATCGGTCCGCTCCTTCTCCTTAGTACCTGTATCACGAAGGTGCCATATCCTTGCTCGTGGTGGGAGTGGGGCTGGATCGGGGAGCCTGTGGTGGTTCACAGTAGGTCCGGTGACCCACCCACAGGATGGCTCAGAGGCAGCCAGGCCCTGCAGAGTGGCACCTGGAGGAAGACGACGTCAGTGTTGGGTTCAGATTGCCCCCAAAGCCTATTCTCTTTGACTAGTACTTTGAAGCCAGTGGCCGTACTTCATTTCTGTCCTTCCTTGCCCTTTTATGGCGCTTTGCCGAATGTCATCCCTGTTACTTGTCAGTTCTACTCGAACTTCCAGCCCTGGGTGAGCGTCACAGCTCTGGGCTCCATATGGCACCGGTTTTTCTCACCACTCCACCTGCAGCACTCTGCACAGTGGCCGCTGTGTATTCTGTCATGAGGTGTGGCCGTGTTCTTAAGCCGTCCCTGAACACCACCTGCCCTGTCACAGTCCTGTTTCCTTGAGCCTTGACACACCCTTCTGCACGGCATTGGTGTCACCACGATAAGTTCCTTTGGAAAGTTGTTTGCAGAGGACCGAATTGTAGACCTTTTGCCTCCTCTCTGTCCCGCCACATGCTTGGCCTTCATCTCGGAAGGCCTCTCTCAGTCAGTGTTCTTTGTACCCCACTACTGCTAAGCAGCCCCATCCTCAACCTCAGCCAACTCTGTGGTCCTGCAGACAGGCCCGTGCATGGGTTCCCGGGTTTGTTGGCCACACATTTGTAGCTCGTGTACTAGCCTCCCTCCCGTCAAAGTCAGCCCACGCTTCACCAGCATTTCCTGCTTTCAGGCTGCTGGCATGGAGCAGGGGACGAGGACGCACCCGAGCAGAGCGTTTCTGTACAAGGAGTGTCACGGGGCAGGACTTCCAAGGCGGCTGTGTCCTCCCAGAAGGCCCCCCCTCGTGAGGTGTGTGTCCCGGACTTGAGGGAACTTTTACATTCGACCGAGCACCACGCGACACCTGGTGGACAGAAACTGCACAAGATGGGGGCGTGTGACAAGCAGGTGTATTTCGACACACGCCTTGCGCACCAGCAGCAGCGCACTGGAGAGAAATGCTTCGGGAGCAACAGGGGCGGAGCCTCTTCTTGGAAGGACTACACATTCTGTGTGTCCGGGAAGCCCTTTTCCTGTGGCGAGGTTGTGAGGGACTTGTTGGCGAGCTCGAGATTCCTCCAGGACCGGGCCACACACACCAGGGAGAAGTCAGACAGGAGAGCTGAGTGCGGGGCGGCCTCTCACGGAAGGAGAACTCCGTGCACCTCGGGAGAGGGCGCCAAGGACCTCACTTGCAGACACACCCTTGTTCGTCACCAGAGACACCTCAGCAGAGAGAGATGCTTCATGTGCAGTGAATGTGGGAAATCTTTTAGCAAAAGCTACAGCCTCAGTGACCACTGGAGAGTGCACACTGGGGAAAAGCCTTATGAGTGTGGGCAATGTGGGAAGTCCTTCAGGCAAAGCTCCAGCCTCATTCAACACCGGAGGGTTCACACTGGAGCAAGGCCTCACGAGTGTGACGAATGTGGGAAATTATTTAGCAACAAGTCCAACCTCATTAAACATCGGAGAATTCACACTGGAGAACGGCCGTACGAGTGCAGCGAATGCGGGAAGTCCTTCAGCGAGAGCTCTGCGCTCCTTCAACACCGGAGTGTGCACACTGGAGAGAGGCCTTATGAGTGCAGCGAATGCGGGAAGTTCTTTACCTACCACTCCAGCCTCATAAAACACCAGAGAGTTCACTCAGGATCAAGGCCCTACGAGTGCAGCGAATGCGGAAAATCCTTTACTCAGAATTCCAGCCTCATCGAACACCGAAGAGTCCACAGCGGAGAAAGGCCTTATAAGTGCAGCGAATGTGAGAAATCCTTTAGCCAAAGCTCTGCGCTTCTTCAACATCGGAGAGTTCACACTGGAGAGAGGCCTTATGAGTGCAGCGAATGTGGGAAATTCTTTACTTACAGTTCCAGTCTCCTAAAACACCAGAGAGTACACACTGGATCGAGGCCTTACGAGTGCGCTGAATGTGGAAAATCCTTTACTCAGAACTCTAGCCTCATTAAACACAGGAGAGTTCACACTGGAGAAAGGCCTTATGAGTGCAGCGAATGTGGGAAGTCCTTTAGCCATAGCTCCAGCCTCATTAAGCACCGGAAAGTGCACACCGGGTAAGGGCTTGAGGAGTACGGTGAATTTGGGAAACGTTTACACGTGTCTTCCATTTCAGTGACCGTTCAAATATTCACACCAGAAAAAAGGCTTTATGAGATGTGAAGGTGGGAAATATTTACGTCCGTGTCCAAGCTCCTAAAACACCACAATGTCACATCAGAAGAAGGCCCGGGAATGTGGCCGATGGGAGAAGGGGCTGACTGAAGTCTAGCCTCGGTGCACTCCAGAGAACTCACACTGAAGAATGGCCTTAGAAATGCAGTGACTGTGAGAAAGCCTTCAGCCAAAGGACTTACCTCATCGGAGATGACAAATTTCAAATGGGAGACCGACCTGAAATGTGCAGGTATACAGCATTTAGGTGTTCGGTGTGACAGCGCTGGAGGAGAGCCTTTCGGAAGGTGCCATTTGCCTGTGTTGAACCTCATACATCTAAACATCCACAGGAACCCCAGGGATGTGGCCGCTGCAGTGCACTTTGTGAACCTGCCCAGGGCCATGCTCCAGTGTCAGGGCAGGTCCCAGATGACCATGAACAGCCCAAGTACTTGCTCCTTCCCCAGTGTCAGGGCAGGTCCCAGATGACCATGAGCAGCCCCAGTATTGCTCCTTCCCCACTTTTCCTCCCTGAGGAGGTAGGGCATGGATCTCACCCAGTTTTGGCCTAGAGGACTGTTGGTGCATTGAAAAGGTGGACTGCATGTCTCAGGGCTGTTATTGTCCTCGTGGCTCTAGAGATGGAAATCCCAGCCTCCCAAGTCACCAACCCAGCAGTCACCCTCCCATTGCTCTTGTTTGTACCATAATAAAGGTCTTACTGTTTAAGTCACTGTTAATCGTGGGGATTCCATTCACTGTGCGTGTATGAAGTTAACTGTGTTTGCTAGCATGAGCATGTGGACAGATTCGTGTGCCTTAGAAGGGACAGTGTGACGGCAGAAGATAGCTCTCCAGTCAGTTTAGTTTGTATGGCTGCTTGAAGACTTTAAGGGAAGGCTGAAAGGCTCTGTGATCCTAATTTATAGTTGGATGCCAGGATATGTTGTAGGGTCAGAGTTTCAACCCGAAGAGCGGCAGTTGTTGGCTGTTAGGACAACCTTCAGGGCTTCTAAGCAACATAAAGTTGTTGTCTTGTTCACAAGGGATATTGATGGTATAGTGAGTGCCCGGTGCTCTTGAAGGAAATCTATTCCCCAGGCCTGGCAGCACAGCCACAGGCCTTGACGTCCTGAATTCTGTAGGTAGCATCACTGGTTTTAAGACTATAAGGGCCATGGGCATGATCACTGTGACACAGATTGGATTAATAGAGAGTGCAGGAGACCAACAAACTGGAGTGATCCTCTCTGAAAAGGGCATCCACAGTATTTAGGCACTATGACCTTGAAGGATGAGCAGGTACAGAAAATCTCAGGACCTCCAGAAGGGTCTGTCTTGTGTAGCTGAGGGCCTGTCAGAAAAATAATCTCAAGGTCTTGTGGATTCCTGTGTCCCCTCTGGGCTGTTCACCAAAGTCTGTTACAGATGCAGCAAAATGAGGACAGAGACAGGAGAGAGCTCTTAG